ATATAGTCAGAGCATAGAACTTGCATGGATGAGATGCCATATGTGATTATTTTTTAGTGAAAAAATAAAATAGAATAGCTTTTTAAAGTGGATGATCAATGATGCTGCTGCAGCACCTAAAGGGTTAAATAAGAGGAGAGAAAAAAAAAAGCTGAGAGAAAGAGAGATCCATCCCTTCTGCAGGGGGTTTGTGTGATGCTTGTAATTCATTCAGGAGTGTGCCTTTTAAGAGGCTGAGGAGGCGTCACGTGACAGCCCACGTCAAAGAGAGTAGAAACAGACTTGTGTGGATTTCCCACCCACATCCCATTCACAGCTCCAGAGGGCTGATGAGCTTGTGTCTAACCCTAGTGAGTTCCTGTAGTATGAGCTGTCTCTGTCTCCAGCAAGATCAAATGGAGCCATTTAATGAGGAGATCCCACTGCCTTCACCATGCAGTTTCCACGATCAATAATTTAAAGATTTGTTTTTTTTCTTCTTCTTTTTGTTGTTGTTTGCTCCAGCACAGAAGATCAAGGCTGCACTTTGCTTGTGTTTTTTTTTTCTTTTTAAAAGGAAGTTGCAAGGAAAACAAACTATAGAGTTCCATTTGAGAACTTATCCCCCTCCCCACCTCCACCCCACCCCTTACCCAAAAAAACACAAAAATTAGGAGTGATTTGATGAATTCATAGGAAAGTACTAACTGAAAAAGGTGGGTCTTTTTTTTTTCTTTTTTCTTTTGTATTGTTGTTCCTTTTGCTTAGTCAAGAAACTCGCTAGAATGTTTTTTTTGTTTTTTTTTTGCAATGTGTCACTTTTATTGTCACTGTAGCTGCGCAGCGACGCTGCCAGCATTGAGTTATTCCTAGCTCTATTGCTCATGAATTAAAAAGGACTTTATTTCCTTAACGGCAGCCCTGATAGAAGAATGCATGATTATCCAGACACATTGCTCTTGGTACATTAGAGAGACACACAAGAGGAAAGACATCATTGCAGAAAGTCCTACATATTCCATTATAAAACATGTACATAATATATGTTGTTTTATTCTGCAGTTGTTTGTTTTTGTTTTGTGTGTAAATATTATTTGTAAAGGAAATAGTTATTCTTTTTGGCACTTTTATGGGAAATATTTGATAGGGAGAAATTCGAGCAGTTGCCCATGACAACCAGTCAGGTTATTTCTAAATTGACTAAAGTCACTCCCCATGTGCCCTGACTCTGAATTCCAAATTGGCTACCAGGTAACAGGATGAGCTCGCCCTGCCTTTGGCTTGTGCTGCAGTGCCAGTAGAACTGGCAGGGGAAAGTTGGGGCGGATGGAAGGAAGGTGGATTAAACTGACACGAGTTTAGCTGCTCATGACTCTTTCATGATGTTGTGTGTTGCTGGGGTAGAGCACACAGAAGAGGAGAGCTGCTCTGTCACTTTAAGTTGCATGGGAGTTTGACCAATAGAAGTACAAAGAGGGCTCTAAATAATTTCTCACTGACAAAAGCCAAGACATTCTGGTCTAAACGCCTTGCTAAACTTAACAAGCAAGGGCTTAGAGAGGCACAAGCGAGGAGCACTGGATAGGATTCTGATCTCCCTTCATGCACATTTGATGAGACATCGGAGCCTCTGGGCTGTCACTGAGATGCAGCAAGAGAGTTCTTTCTGATCGTCAGCATGGAAATGCCTAGGAACCATCAAACTTTTAGCCAGCTGCTGGTCTTCATCTAAAATCGTCCGACAAATCCCAAACTGGCAGAGACAGAAGGTAGGATGTCTGGGTAAGGGAGTAAGGGTTGGAGTAAGGGGTAACTCAGCTCCGCATCTACCTAGGGGTAGACTTCTCTTGCTACAGTCAAAGGGACTTCAACTTTGCCCATGATGCTGCAGGCAGTATATTGTTTTCTTGAAAGTCACTCCAGCATGGTGTTTGAGCAGGGAGGGAGTTTTCTTGGGCTGTACAACTAGGAATGCACTCAGACACAATAGTATTCAGTAGACTGATAACTTTTTTTAAAAGCATGTCTTTCTTTTTCCATTAGTGAGGTGGGCTGCTACTGGGATAAAGTTGCTTTTTCTACTGAGTGACAAGGTTGTGTTCATGCCAGGGCTGAAGCCAGGGGGTTCTGTTCACCTAGGGTGCCACTCGGTGGGTGGGTGGATGGAGGGGTGCCACTGGATGTGCGGATGGAGGGGTGCCACTTGGTGTCTGGACGGAGAACTTCTCCCTTGAAGCAGCTCTAAGCCTTTGCCCCAGGTATCCACTGGTTCATGCCATGGGTGACCATACTCATACTGGCTTGATTTGGTTTTGCATGCTGGTGGCATTGTGGCAGTGAAGGGGTTAACGGGGCATCTGGCATCACTAGTTGTTTTTTTTTGCAATTGCCATCATGATGGATAGCGATGTGTGTTTCATGCTATGTAATAACATGTTTCTGCTATGCTGTAAGAGTTGTGAAGAGTATAGGGTTCCCAGAGGAAAGGCTTACAGGAGGCTGGCTGCTACCAGTTGGAGTGAATTCCCTGTTCTGTTTTCTGAGCCAGAATTGCGGCAGTGAAGGGGTTAACAGGGGCTTCTGCCACCTATAGTTTTTTTTGGCATCGCCATCATCATGGATAGTGATGTGTGTTGCATGATATGTATTAACATATTTCTGCTATACTGTAAGAGTTTAGGGTTCCCATAGGAAAGGGTTACAAGGGGTATTTGCTGCTACCAGTTGCAGTGTATTCCCTGTTTTGTTTTCTGAGCCAGAATTGTCTACCTTCTCCTGTGTATTCCCTGTTCTGTTTTCTGAGCCAGAATTGTCTACCTTCTCCTGTGTATTCCCTGTTCTGTTTTCTGAGCCAGAATTGTCTACCTTCTCCTGTGTATTCCCTGTTCTGTTTTCTGAGCCAGAATTGTCTACCTTCTCCTGTGTATTCCCTGTTCTGTTTTCTGAGCC